TCGGTGGATTTTTGTGGTGGTTGTCATGTTGCTTTCCAAAGCCTTGCCGTTTTGTCTCGCTTAGCTGGTTGGTTGGTTGGTTGTTTAACGCCGCACTCACTAACCTTCAAGCTATATGGCGGAGGTGTGTAAATATTCGAGTCTGGACTAATTAGGATTATGTACCATAAAGGTATAGGTATACTGTTCACAACACCAATGTTCATGTGATGAGTGAGTGAGTGAGTTTGAGTCGGGCTGTCAATGTAAATCTAACTTAAAAGAAAATACGTCAGAAAATAGAAAGCAAATGCTAGGACGGGTCGTTTGAGGCGCGGCAATTAGCTGTGAAACCTTTCTCTCTTCTTAATTCAAAGCGTGAGTTTTAGTTGGGTTACCCATGGAAACCTATCACCTACTTTATACCTGTCCATCCCCCCTCTCCCTCCCCCTCTCTCTCTCTCTCGCATGCATGCAAACACCCACGCACGTATGTACGCGCGCGCACGCACACACACACACACACACATACAGATTAACTGTCGTTAATGAGCATCCACATACATACAAGCAAGTATGAAGCACCCTTAGATCATTAGTCAATTTTAAGCCGCTGACCCTACCGTTCCTGGGTGGTTGATATTGGTTCCAACCACACTCTTGTTTATAGGCATAATGGGGCCGTTGTTGTTGGCCACAATTTAATCTAAATTCAGTGTAAATTCAAAGTACTCCCTCCTTATTCCAAGGACAATAAAGCATTGGTCGGATCAATGAGCTCGACCCGGGGGAACCTTTGGACTTCCAGGTTTCATGTTGTCTTTAATAACATTCAATATTTGATATCATTTTACTCGCAACACGCTCACATTTGTAATCTCTTTCAACACTGAAAACATTCAATCTCATGAAACAAAAGCAAACAAATAAATTATGCATCACATTACAAATATTTTCTGTTTGATGACATGCAAATATGCTGTGTTGTAATAAAACCGAAAGGTCACCAGAATTGTATCTTCTGTCACTGCCCCCTCGCTGATGATATTACACAGATCCCCCAACGAGGCATTGTCTTCAGGAACGCATGGAAATTTATGCTTTAGAAAATAGGTTTTTATAATCTCCAAAGCGTTAAGTTAGAAATGCGATCACGTACAATTCGGGAATATTTCACATTTCTTCTGATTTGATCAATATTGGTTGACAGCCTAAACGCTGGGTGTTAGGGTTAACGTCATGGAAGTCTAAAAGTGGCAGTTTAATCAGGGTTAGCGTTAAACATCTGTAACATGTCAGATGAATTGTCATAGTTGCTTTTCTCATGCATCATCTGATGTGTATCAGCATCCTGTCGAATCTTGATTTGGTCCATTTTGTGGTGTGGTCACGAGTTGACCAGTACGACCACTATAACAAACAGACATTAATGGCTCATTTTCCCGTTGTCCTTTAAAAATATGCAGTTTCGCGATGACATCACTGAAGTGGTCTTGTTGAAGAAGGCTGTCCTGTCTCATAAAAATGGAACCGTTATGCCACGAAAGAGTCTCATTTGTTGACAAACAATACATCAGAGATGCTCTGACGGCGCCTCGGTAAACAGCAAAAAGGTCGTGGCTGTGGCCCTTAGGCCCGGGTTGCCATTCCCCAAATGGGTACAATGTTTGGAGTCCTGGGGTCGCCAGGAGTGTGTGTTGTTAAATGTGACGTAAAACCATCTCCCTCATTCACCATCTTTGGGATCATTGTCACCAGGAACTAATCGTTTCTCAAGGCCAAAGTTACTTATTTATGTATCCGACATCTTCAGTTATGTCTGTATTCAAATATTTACGTAAATCTAAGCATGGTATTTAAGAGAAAACGTGCCTAGCTCATCTGGTGTAAAAGATATATCTCCATCACGTGACTCGAAACTAGACGTCAGTCAGCTGGTATATTTACGTTTCTATTCCCGTTACAAGTAACGTATAATGATACTTCCCTGTCGTGGTCACTTCCTGGGGCCGACTTAGATATGACAGCTGATATATATCCCCCGCGGTTGGTAAATACTCTTGACAGTGTGGGGGAAACTCTAGTGATCCCTGGGGGTGGGGAATGCAGTCTGGGCTCGCCACATCGACCAGAGGAAGTCACTCGTGGGAGCTCATGGGACTCAGTTTGCCTTTAGCTTCAGTAGAATGTAGAGTCATTGGAGAGTGTGTGTTACATTTCTCTGCAATCATTATGGTTGTCTCAGTGCAAGAAGTATCTCAGAATGCCATAAACTGATACAATTGATACCGTGTCAGTGTTAAAGAGACCATGTTAGATCGTGAATGTGATGTAAAGTCTCACAATTTACAGAGAGTTTAATTATGATGTTTATTTCTTATGCAAATTGTCTCATGTCGCATAGATGGAAAATAGTTTATTATTAATGCTTGTCTATGACATGGTACTTTTTCACGACAGGCTTCCTGCCTCAGTGAGAATTTATTGTGGTTACATCGATACTACGTTTTCCGAAATCTTCCAAAGGCTCACAAGATTTTAGATGTATAACTTTTGTTTGATGTTTAACGCCACATCAGCAATAGTAACTTTTGTGAAAATACGAGCGCAGATCTGGTTCTAAGAAAAGGATTATGTTAATGTTAAGCTCAAATGTCGGATTCGATCGAATCCTTGGACCATGGGAGGTAACTCTACACAGTACAGTGGGTAAATCACAGATGCACATTTGGCTATTTACCGTTGTTGAATGTGACAAGTGAATGGTGTTTTGGGCAACTTTCGGCTTTGATGCAGAATACGTAAACATGTCTATAAACAAAATAATGACAAAAAAATATTAACTGTTGTATCATTTACATCGGACAAGAAATATAAAGAAAACCTCCTTAAGTATTCTTGTCTGTCATTTACGAAAGAAAACCACTTTTAACTTCGAGTTTTAGCATATCTGTTTTGACGTTACATTTTAATGTTTTTGAGTAAAGCTCTTTTGATATATTGATGGGATGCTTATGACTTAAAACAGTAAAATTTCGGGAGATAAACGTTTCTATTGCAGGAGTGGCGTTTATCTTGTATTGCTTCAACATTTTGACATTTTACTTCAGTCATTATCTTTTTAAAATTTGATCGAGTCTTTTACTTATGTTATATCGAGCGAATGTGAGACATTGTGGTACCTGGCGCCGCAATTAAATGTGGAGCGTTGTATCGAAAATCGAAGCGTCGTGTCCTTCAGCCACAACAGTTTGTTTGTTGTTTAACGCCGCACTCAGCAATATTCCTTCCATATGGCGGCGGTTTGTAACTAATCGAGTCTGGACTAGAACATCAAGTGATCAACAGCATGAGCATCGATCTGCGCAATTGGGAACCGATGACATGTGTCCACCAAGTCAGCGAGCCTGACCATCCGATCCTGTTATTCCCCTCTTACTACAAGCATGGGTTGTTGAAGTCTTTAGGCACGGTCCTAAACAGCCTCAGTGACGGACAGGGAACTTGCAGACATCCGTGATCTAGCTTAAATGTTGCTTGAAACAACATTCTCTCACATATAATTGATTGATGAAGTGATCAAACATCAGCGGAAATTGGTAATAAAGAGCATATAATTTCCATCTTCATATTTCTTAATGTCATGTGCTTTCACAAAATATTAAGTGAGTGAGTTTAGTTTTACGTCGCTTTTAGCAATATTCCCGCAATATCACGGCCGGGGACACCATAAATGGGCTTCACACAATGTACCCATGTAGGGAATCTAACCCGGATCTTCGACGTGACGAGCGAACGCTTAACCACTATTCTACCATGGCTTTTAAGTATGTTCGTTTTTGATTGGCTGTTACTAAAAAATTAGAAGTGAAAAGTTTTCAAATAAGCACTTCTGAGAGCCGGTTCACTGCGCGTAGTGTAAAAACACTACGCAAGGATAATGAGTGCATATTTAAAACGCGTTCTATTCATGGTGCATATGTCATGGTAGAATGGAGATAATCCTACTGTGTTTACATTTTGGAAGTGATTATAGTTGGTTGAACCCTGCTAAATAGAATAGAATAGAATAGAAGAATAGAATAACACTTTAATGCCTTTTAAGGAATTTGTGTTACGTCAGCAGAGCTACTGACACATTAGAGAGATACAAAACATATTTACATAAATTCTTTGATTTAGGTATCTTGACATTTGTTTAAGAGAGATGTGGTACTTGGAATAAAGGATGTACGAGCTCTCTTAGTTTTCACAATTGGAACTTTGTAGCGGCGGCCTGAAGGGAGGATGTTGTATTCCGAATTTAAGTAGTGAGTACGGTCAGATATGATTTTGACAGCTTGATTCACAATTTGGCGCTCATGTATTGATGATAAACATTCAAATCTGACTCTGAAATTCAATTATAAGTTCCTTTATTTTTGTGACATTTAAGAACAAGTGGTTTTCTGCACACCAAGTCGTAAAATGATTAATGTCCTCTTTATACAGTTCTTCAGAATCAGTGTCGTTCAATTTGCCGACAATTGCTGCATCATTTGCGAACTTCACAGTTCAACAGGTTGAATTCGAGCTTGCACAATCATTAGTGAAGAGGGTGAAAAGAACAGGAGATATTACACAGCCTTGTGGTGCACCATGAAACATTTAGCAGCGTTCAACCAACTATAATCACTTCCATAATGTAAACACAGTTGGATTATCTCCTAATTATCATTTCGAATTTTTAGTCAAGAACATGTACTGCTTCCAGGCTTAGACAGCCTAGTGGTTAAGGTAGTTGCTGTTACTGTGGAGAGATGGTCGGATTCCCACATGGTTTCCAATACAATGGTGTACAATATGTTGTACGGTTATGACGAATTAAAGGGATTGTAGATTTCAATAATTAATTAGATCACTGTTCCAAAACTTACCGAAACGGATATTTATCAATTATATCCAACAAAAATTGTTTTTTGCGAAATATTTATCGTTTTGTTTGGAACCATGTTTTAATCATGACGTTTATCTGTTCCCAGGCCAGTCAACCCGGGTAGAGACGATCCCCGCCAAAGCCCTCTTCCCCAACACCAACTATTACGTCACGTACGAGGGGTCACTCACACAACCCGGATGTTATGAGACGGTCACGTGGGTCATATTCAACAAGCCCATATACATTTCAAAAGATATGGTAAGCATGTTAGATTCATTATTTGTCTAGTTTAACGGCTGCCTGTTTATTTGTCACCTGCATCTTTTGTGACAGGCTGCAGGTTGTGTAAATACAACACCTGCGTATTTAAGATCCGGTTTATTGGCCCTCTACAACCCAAAACGCAACTAACGGGATCTGATTGTCAGGCTCGCAGACTGCCAGTTGCAAAGATCGATGCTTATGGCGTCTGTTAAGTTTGACGCAAAGAAACAGTTTTTGCCACAACCAAATATGAAATGCAAAATATATATCTTTCTTCCTCAATTGCATATTCATTTGAAGATAGGTAAGCTGCATGACCTATACGCAAACCATTAAAAGTTGACGGGGAGATTTATTCAAGTATTTTTAATTTAGCTGCCGATGATGAGATGATGTGGCATTCAGCTGAGTGTGTATGTCATACTTTGTCCTGGCGAAGAGAGTACAGAATATCAACCACGACCATATCGATATACACTTGACATTTAACACTGGAGAATCACGGCCATGTCAACAGTCGATGGTGATGTCAATTACGTTGGTATATTGAGCATGTGAAGAAACCGTTCTAAAGAACTTATAGGTCTCCAGTCAGATCTATTGATTTGGCATTTAACTGGACAAAACTGACAGGCTCATATGTTCTGGAAATGTCGGATTTATCAATAATATGTGCTTCTTGGTTACCTTCCTCTAGTCAATGGCATAAAGTCTCCCTAAGATATTTGTTGCTTCCCTTTAACTGCTTTGACTTCACTATTCTTGGAGTGAAGTCTCAGAGAATGAAGTATCAGGGTCTCCCGTTTCTCTGAGGGGCCGCAATTAGCTGGGAAGAGTTACGTCCCTTAGGTATGCCCAGGTGTTATGATCGTGGGACCGAATTCAATGCTTGTCTTGATAATGTGTCTAGGTTTGTTGGACCCAAGGGCGGATTTCACCAGTAATAAATGTTCTACCTCGCTCGGGGTATCAAGAAGCACGCCGTGATATAACCAACTTTCTGTCAAACTGCAAACTACTCGTCCCTCTTTGCCATTCTGATATCCTGATGCGTTCGCCTCAGCCCAGTCGGATATAACGTCGTTTTAACAGCATCCCAGTTAAGTCAGAGTATGTCCGTCCATTGTAAAGGGGTGGGCTCGGGGTCAGCCACTTTCCCCCCTCAGACGTTTAGTAAAACCAACGAGCAAGGATGTGGTGCTGCCAAAGTAAGAGAGTCTATATCAGGGAATTGAACACACAAGGATTCTGGCTACCCTGTGGACTACTCCCTGAAAAGGAACTCTGCACAGCTAATTGCGGCGCCTTAGACTACTGGACTAGCATTTGGTTTCTACTGATTTCTAAAATTTGAAGTAACCTTTCAAGTGTTGTTTGCTGCAGCTGACGTCATTACGGCGCCTCCAACAAGGTATAAAAGACGACCCAAACAACATCGTGGCCAACAACTACCGCCCCATCATGCCTATAAACAACAGAGTGGTTCGAACCAATATCAACCATCCAGGAACGGTAGGGCAAATGATGTTACAGCACGTTAAAAGTTTGTGCCTTTTTAGTTACTAGCGCTTACAGAATTACTCTGGGCTTGAGGGGGCTGTTTGGTAGCCTTTGGTTAAAGCGTAGAACCAGATGTGATTCCCCACATGGGTACAGTGTGTGGAGCCCATTTCTGGTGTCCCCCACATATTGCCTAAATATGACTAAAGGCGGCCTAAAACTAAACTCACTCACTCTAGTCTTTTATTTAGCGTATACGTTTTGGTTAGCATTAACTAAATAGGATCAAACTATGTTTAATATATCGCGTTGGTTCATTCTGGTTCACTGGTTCAAGGTGAAAAGTAAAGTTTTATATTATTAAGTTAACATCACAGTTTAGAATTTTTAGAACTGATCTAAAAATGTTAAGTTGAATATGGAGAATGGAGCTAAGGATATTATTGATAGTTTACTTCATCTTTATTCAAAATGAATGAGGCATCTTTCATCTCTGTCCTTAGGATAGCTGACCATATTACATGAATAGTTATAAGTTCAAAGCTTGGAATAACATGGAATATGATACTTGTCCATGATTCTGCCGATTCCGTAGACTGATCGTTCAGTAGATGAATCCTTCTGGAAAACCCGTTAAGCCAGGTTTTGTGCTATTCTGGAAGACGTCTCAAGATCAGGGAAAACGCAAACAGGCACATAAACTTCTTTCTGCTCCGATTACAGCAAACTGTTCTGCGCAAACGAGGAAAATTGTTCATTTCAAGTATCCTCTAAAACAATATCTTCTTGGAATTTTTAATAAGTTTTATTCAGATTCTTGAAGCCAAATTATATATCCCAACGGTTTTGCAAGACTGATGTTTCAATATATCTGACGTCAGAGAAACAACTTCACAAAGCAATGCAAAACATTTAGATTATAGCGATTTTGAAAATCAGAGTAGCCTTGGCATATTATGAAACAACCATGTTTTGCCCATACAGATATTTTCAATTGGAAAGTATCTTTTGAAGGACATTCCAAGACTAACGCTTAATCTCTGAATGCATAATTTTGATTGTAACAAATAAACCCATTTAAATTGAAAAGGAGCCCAAAGTAGACCAGAGATTGGGGAGAATTAGACTTGCTTCATTTAGGGCTTTAGCACTGAAGGGAGGGCAAGAGAGTATGGAAAATAATATGGTTCAGGGACTGTGAGACAGACTACGATATTCTCTGTTAGTCGGACATCATATAGTGATGTAACATTCTGAACTTAGCTTTCCACGTTTTAATCGCAGTCGATTCTGGTTCAGTTCATTGCCCTCAATGGCGGCGGTATTCCTGATGCGGCAGTTAGCAGTATTTACTTCACTCACTCACTCACTCGAGTTCGATTCCCCTCGAGTAAGTGAATGTTATTATAGGCCGCCGTGCTCGGGAATATTGCAACACAATTACGGCGGTAGGTGAGTACAATTATCTGGGGCAGACAAACCCGTGATGGATATCATGAGTAACACCATCAACCGTCACATGGTTCTTAGTGTAACATCACTCACTCACTCATGACCATTTAAACTCTGGAGGCCTATTTGGATAGGAAATATTTGTCAATTGTTAGAGTCACGTCTTTCAGAAATTGCAGAAAACTTTTACCATTTACCTGGCATCACTTTGAACTTCCTTCCTATAAAATGCTACAAATACAATGTTGTCCTGCGCGGCGTTAAACTAAATTCCTTCGCAGCTACTTATATCAATTTCGGTAACTACCATAAACCATCGAGGCTCACTGACAAACCATCGCAGGTGCCTGTAACACAAGAAGGAGATTTTGATTGAAATATATTTCGTTCACAAATGGAATTTGTTTTTCTTTGGGAGATTCGATTTTCTTTGACGGGCATCGATGTCATATTTGATTGAATTATTCTTTATGAGCCGAACCTGTGTGAAAAATTCGATAGCCTGATAAATTCAATTGAAGAAACAAATTTCAAGATGACAGGTCTTGTTATATCCTACCCGAGTCGTCCCGTAGTGTATTTCATACATGTAATTACACGAGTTGGGATTTTTCAGTGGGTTTTATCCTATAGTTTGGGCAAGGTGGCCGCATATTAGAACGTCTGGGTCGCAGAAACATGATTCAAGTTAGAATACTGAGTTGCCCCCCTCAATTCTGCTAGAAGTCGCTGATATGGGGTTTGAGTGAGTATTGTTTTACGCCGCTTTTAGCAATATTCCAGCAATATGAAGGCTTCACACACTGTACCCGTGTGGGGAATCGAACCCGGGTCTTCGACGGGTGACGAGTGGACGCTTTAACCACTAGGCTTCCTTTCTGCCCCAAATAGGGGTTTGAATCTAGACTTGATCATTTATTTGGGGTGTGGTGAACAAATTCCAATTGCGCACTCATATCATTGATATCTCATAATTCGCTGAACAGAGTTGTTTCCCTTATCTCTGACAAGATGAATTGATAATGGGTTTCAATCACTAATGCGCCCTGATAATTATCATTGGTGTGTGGTTACATCTATGATCGTTTATCTTTGGGTCTTGGTCCAACATCAGTTGAGTGAGTCCATATTGTTTCTAGCCTCATCAGCAATATTCAAGATATGCCAAGGCAGCTTTCAAAGAATCGATTCTGGGCAAGACACACCTATGGATGCCTATGTACTGAGAACCCAACTCACGCACTTTGCCCATCTATATATCGATGGAGACTTGGAACTTCGAATATACACGTATTGATCTGAAACCAAACAAACCAAAAGAAAACCGCGAACACTGCCATTTCTGACAGTTAGTGTTCCGTGTGCAACGAAACAAGCACCATGGAACAGGTGTTTCCGGTGGCGCGAGACTGTGCACGTGGAGTTCGTGCTCTCCGTGTATTCGTCAATGTGTCACGTGGATTGGCGGCATACCTTCAGCACTGTTGTTATCGACTGCACGTGTTATGCAGATCTGGGGGTTCAGGTCAGGTCGAAACCGTTTACCGGACAACTAATGTTTGTTAACTCTTGTGGCATAAAGCTACTTGTTTCATTCAAGTATTAAAATGACTGTTTTTCTTCTTTTCAGAGCACAAGCAACATATGTGGGATGACACGATACACGTTTTATCAAAGTGAGTGTTATTTATATTTGGAACGTTTGGTTTTCGCACATTCGGGTTTGTTTGCATATTGTTTTAATTCCACAATCAGCAGTATTACAGCTGTATGTTGTCAGTGATCGAGTCTGGAACAGACAATCCAGTGACTGACATCATGAGCATCGATCCCCGTAACTGGGATTCAAGGACAAGCATAATCCAAGTCAGCAAGCCACACCACCCCGTCAGTCTACACAAGCATGGGTTGCTGAAGACCAGTTACAAGACGGATCTTCACGATACTGTTAATCAGTGACTGTTAATATTTGTCACCACATGTTTTCAATGTCGTCAGTTACTGCCTTAGGACCTTTGAAGATCCGGGCTAGATTTGGTCTTCAGCAACCCTTGCTTGTCGTAAGAGGTGACTAATGGGATCGGATGGTCAGGCTCGCTGACTTTGTTGACACATGTCATCGTATCCTGATTGTGTTGAACAATGTTCATGTTATTTACAGATCGTCGCCATATAGCTGGTATATTGCTGAGTGCGGTGTTGCAGAACAAACAAAATACTCCAAAAGATTAACCTAATATAACGCTTGAAACTTCCCGGTCTGGTTCGGGTTAGGGAGTTTTACCAGCGTTAATATGATTGGGTCTTTAGGCCAACTCAATACTTGTACATACTATGATACTGATTTGTCAGGTTGATATGAGTCACAGCTAGCTCTTTTGTTTTCATCACAATCAAGGTTAGGTAGTATCGCTCGATTTAAAAAGTAGTATCAAAAGAGAAAGAAACTTATTTTTGCCGTTTCAAATCAAGGTGTTAAGATTTAAGAATACTTCAACTGGGAGTATCCACAAAAATACATCGACGAATATCGTTTATTGCAATTAGGTGGGGTTGTTTTAACAATGTCACTTCGCAGGAGAAAAATCCGTAAATGTTTTTTCAGTGCAATAGAATCTTTTCATCTTTGGGAATATGTATCTTGAAATGTCTTTTATTGTGTGCAGAAAACCTCACGTAAATTATTTTAAGAGTAGATTAAATTAGTAAACAATCAATGGTTTTTATTTTCAGCTTGAATAGCATCAAAGTCATTAACAATTGGTTACATTTGAAACATGTATAAATTTAAGAACTCCTTATGATACCATACTGAGTCGACAAGTAAAATTACAGACTGTATAAACTCAGTTTTAACCTGACCCCCCTTCTGTTTTCCAGTAAACCCGTCCCTTGATGTCTGACGGAAGACCAGGATGCAGTATGACCGTGCTGGCGCCACACTTCAACATTGTAACATAATGTATGCATGTCGCGTTTTCTGTCATATTTATATATTTTTGTACAAATGTAGAGTTGTAATAAAGAACAAAAATTAGAAATGTATGAAGGAGTTGTTTTGTTTCCCCAGCTACAGAGTCCATGTGCATGTACATATAAGCAGAGTATGGACTTAAAGCCACAACTTTTGGCTCGGTTAACCAATTCCTTTTCCGTAATCACACCTACCCCAACCAAATGTCACCTTTTTGAAAATATCTCTGCACATATTCAGCAGAAGTCATTGTGTTAAAAAGTATATCACTAAATATTGAAAATATAGTCATTGTTAAGTAGTGGATGGATGAACGTTTACAGAAAAACAAGATTCTTACACAAAATCACCCAATCACAGCTGCCTAATGATTCTGTCTGCACTGAAGGCTCCCTACGAAAGGTGCTTGTTAAACTACGGGATCTGATTTGGTGTGGTGGAAACTGTAACTGAAATAATGTTCAAAGCGGTTTTAAACCTGATTCACTCACTCACACATTAACATTTCCTGCGATTTCAATGTTAAAACACACAACATTCACCCACTGTGAACATTGAATGTTATTCGACTGATTCATCACAAAGCACACTTGTGGGCAATTTTCATTTAAAGCTCTATCCCCAAATGAGCTGGTTAAGACATCATCATCATCATCATCATCATCATCATCATCATCATCATCATCATCAAGGACCATGAATTTGTCAATGTAGAAGTGTATGCTTTTAAAACAAGACATCTGTGTATTCTGGTTGACAGGACACCCAAGAGAACAAACATCTACCTGATAATGATAATCTGTGAAGACAGACATAAGATTCTATTGCAGATTTCTCAAGCCGAAGCTGAAGTTTTGGCAGAGCTGTGACGTCAGGTGATACGTGCACGATTTAGAATGTTTCCCTGTTCTTGGGAAGAAGCCTTTGTGTTTTGTGTAGTTATTTAACGCCGTAACCAGCAATATTCCACTGGGCAGCTATTAGTCGACGGGCTGTATTAATAATCGAATGTGGACTAGACAATCAAATAATGAACATCATGAGCATCTAACTACGCAATAGACGAAGTCAGCGAGCCGACCATCCGATCCCGTTAGTCGCCTCTTACGACAAGCATGGGTTGCTGAAGACCTATTCAAACCTGGGTCTTCGCGAGCCCTTATAAAATACGCCATGTTTCCCAGCTTTTCTTTTGCTCAGGTTTTACTGACCAGCAAATAAGCCATATCAATCCTCTTCTTTGTCAAATCCGACAAGCACTCCAAGTTTTGTGAGGATGATCAAACTTATATTAAACCCGAATTTCATCCGATCAATGTTACCTAGTGCCACATACGTTGCATTGGTTTCTCACATCCAGAGGCGCAGCTTGGTAGATCTAGAACACCGCTGCCTGGCGTTCAATAATACTGAAAGATATTATCTCATACATTTTGGCTTAAACAACGTATAAATTTGTCTTAAGGCATTGCTCAACAATTCTTTTATTTTACAAGTCACTGCATAATACCATAATATATTGATTTGGGGATTGTCATCAGTGATTCTCAACTTTAAAAATGCCCCAGCTTAAAGGTATTAACTTACAGACTGGGAAATAAACTATACTTCTCAGCTGATTTGGTTATGTGCTTTGTGTTCAGTTGAGAACATCTTAAGTTAGCGATATTTCGTAAAATATTACAAGCACTGACATGTAGCCAGCATTCCAGTTGATTCTATTCTTTTTTTAAATAGAATTTGATGTGAAACTTTGAAAAATAAAAAACTAGTGTAATACACATCTTTTGAAAAGTTTTGAAAATCGATAAATTTTATCTGAAACAAACCTTGGTAGGAGCCAAATGGTTGCAGATGTATTTCTTACTCAGGTTTTCATTGAACCAATTTATTTTTACACGAAATTGCCAAACCACAGATGACTTTTTACAAATTGTCTCATAAATGAATTACGTCTCAACAGAATACATAATCAATTTCAAAAACAGCTTTTCGAGGTTCAATTAGATAAAAAACTAACTCGGACACTTTCTTTTCGTTTCAGTATATGATTACTGCAACTCAATGTACGGATCTTCCTTTATCGCCTGGAACAGTTTCCTTGAACGTCAGGGCAAATTTAGAACAGCAAAATTTAAATATTATATTAAATTTTGCTCAGCTTTATCGTTTGAATATACACATAGATATGTAGATGTTAATATTCAAAATTAGTTTATTAAAATATTGACTATGATGGGAAGGATTGTTATGGCTCTGTTGTCTAGATACAGTCAAATTAGGAGATTGCGGTTGTTGAGTGGTTTAAGCGTTTGCTCGTCACGCCGATGGTTCGGGTTCGATTCCCAGGTAAAATGTATAAAGCCCATGTGATGTGTCGATCGCCGTGACATTGCCTGACTACTGCTAAAAGTTGCTTTGGTACTGTATAAACGATCTCGTACCTGTTCTGTTTCATTTGGGTGACGGGTAGCCAAGTGGTTAAAGTGTTCGTACGCCACACCAAAGCCCTGATTCGATTCTCCGGACGGAGTGGTAGCAAAGTTAACAAAACAAATCTGGCGAAGAAACATGAACGACTAATAATAAGGTTTATCAAAGAGGTGTTATTTCACATTAGAAAGAGTTCCCATCTTCTACATGTATTTGGCTAGCCAGCATCTTTGACAAAAGAAACCCGCCTCTATTTCCGACGTAGTCTTTCGTAGATTTTCCATGAAAAGATTCCAACATGATATTTCAGTGTCAGTTTCACTTGAAGTCTTTCTATAACATATCCCAATCACGTACGCCGCTTTTACCAGCAGAATAAATACATTTTATCAAGAAGGCAAACTGCAGACTCATCTGTTAAATTTCTTGCTACGAAATCTGGCACTCAATATAAAATGTCTGGGAAAACATAGTTTGATTAACTGTATATGTTTAAAGAACATGGCGACATTTGGCAGCGACAGGGTCATTTTGACATTTAGAGTGTTGATCTGTTTAAATCTGACAGACGTGATAGATCAGGGACACATAGAAAGACTAAATGGTAGGTTTGAAATGTTTGTATCTGGGTGCGTTACGTCCAACTATCTGTGAAGATCCGGGTTACAATTGGCCTTCAATAACCCGTGCTTGTCGTAAGAGGCGACTAACAGGATGGGGTGGTCAGGCTCGCTGACGTGGTTGACACATGTCATCGTATCTCAGTTGCGCAGATCGATGCTCATGATGTCAGTTAGTGGGTTGTTTTGTCCTGACTCGATTATTTACAAACCACCGCCATGTCGCTGGAATATTGCTGAGTGCAGCGTTAAACAACAAAGAAACAAGCAAACAAACAAACAAATCTGAGAGCGGCTTTTCAACAAACAAAATTTCCTACATGAACGATAATGTCTTAGCCACAGGTATCTCCAATTATTAACGTTAAACGCCGCGATCAAGATTATTGCACTTACATAAAAGACGTGCTTGCACGTGTGCGAGTGTGGCTGCTTGCTTCCAAGTTGCCAGTTTATGAGTACAACCACACTTAGATACTATTGCAGCGGCCATTGCTTAGAGAGATTACATAGCGGTTTTTTTATATTAAACATTATTGAAAAATGGTGATCTCCAACCTGAATCACTAAATTAGTTTTCATACTGAAACTGACATCCATAAAATTATTAAATGCTACTTTGAAATTCCAATTCATCATGAGTCGACACGATGTATTGCTTAATATGTTTACCTACGTTAATATTCTACGTATTATATATTATTTGTGAGAAATCCACTCGTACAGGCAATCAGGAGACGGATACACATTTAGTCTGGGCAAATCTGTCTAATACCTAAAATGTAAATATCACTTAAACCTATTGTTCCAGGATGCTCTTTAGGCGTACTTAAATATTTATATGTTGTCGATGATGATGACGATGGTGATGATCACTATGCTGCTGTTGATGCTGCTGCTGATGATGATGACGACGATGATGGTATGATGAGGATGATAATGAACCAATACGTGCTTCCACAAACTGAACATGGCGTCCACTTCGGCCATATTGAAAATGCGGTTCCCTCTATTCTTCAGCAATTTATGAAATTTGATAGGTGGTATGTTTCGTGAGTAGTACTACGTCATACCAATTTTAAATAGACATATAATACTGTAATATGTTATAAATACCAACTTGTGTTTTGGTTGTCTGAAATATTCTTCAACAGGAATTCAGGTGAGCTACAGCGCTTCTGGCTTTATTTTTGTTGGGTTGTTAAACCATCGTGAAGCTACTTTACATCAACGGACAATTAAATCTTCTTTCCCGTCGGCTTTTACATCCAGCACACAGGGACCAATCTACATGGGGATTTTACAAATAGGGCTAATGCACTTAAAGTGCATCTGTACTTCTGCGAGTTAACCATTACATCTGCTTCTTCAGACTGCAAAACAAATTGAAACATCACGGTTCTGAATAGTGAAATGCGAACGGCATGCAGTTGAAATATGTTGTGAAATAGTAATTTGATTCCACAACTGATTGGATTATTCAGAACTTAAACGTTTTTGCATTGTGTTACATGTCGGCCTGTCTAGCTATGGCTTAGGGGCTGAAACATTGGGAATATTGTGAGTATGTGTAGATCCGTGCACTTAGGTCTCGTCTGAGTGAGTGAGTTAAAATTTAATGTCACATCGGCAATGTTTCAGCTATATCTTAACGAGACAAACCTGTACATACATAATAAACATATTTAGTCTGGATAACATCCTGACGTCGAAGAACAGAGGACAGGTGGTGTATCCCCGTGGTTAAAGTGTTCGCTCGTCACGCCGAACGCCCGTGTTGTGTGTGAAGCCCATTTCTGGAGTTCCCAGCCGTGATATTGCTGGAATATTGCTAAAAGTGGCGTAAAACCCATCTCACTCACTCGAAGAACCGTGTAGTAACTAGATAATCATATATATTTAAAACAAGTTTGAGAGAATTATAAATAAACTATCAGTTCACAATACAATACGGAAAGGGGCTAGAGATCGCAAGCGACCAAAGTTAGGTCACCTTGATGGGGACCGTGCGGGACTCTCATCTGAGTTGCAATGGAGGGTGAAAGAGGGTCACATGTGTTAGGTTGTACGTGCATATATTTATCCTCAATGCCATTTTGTCCCAAAAACAGCGATGCACCTCCCGACTCACTTCAATTACATCAATTAACCATGTTTACTCAAGTTTACTTTCGTTCTCATCATTGAAACAAATGTCAGATTTCCACATTTCATTATACAGTCACAAGTAGAGGCCATTTGCCAAATACTGCCGATGTCACTTAAAATCGGAACTCACTCACTCACTTTAAAAAAGTAAATGCTTACAGGCAAAAAACTCGCAGTGCGACGGCCGTCTGTGAAGAAAAGAGACAACCAAGTGAATAAAGGACCAGAAAATCTTAGTTGTTGCTTTTGAAATACGACTGATGTAGACGTGCAGAGATTCCGGAAACAAATCATTATGTGTTATAATGCAGTGGAGATATATATTGCCCTGTGGCGACTTGGACACTTGTGGCAATTGAAACCTCTGATTTCAGGGGCCAAGTTTTTTCTGGCTCTCATGATAGTTTACTACGTGTTCCTTTATTTATTTCCTTGAGTATATACGCGATCAGCTGTAATACGTTAACAGCCAGGCCATGTATGTTGCAGAATTTCTGTAACCTCAACGTTACATGAGAAGTTAAACTATTTGGGATTATACGTGTTATATGAGACAAACTTGTTCTTTATCAAAGCATGATATCGTCGGTTGGACAATAGTAGACCTTATTACAGTAAGTGAGTGTTGTTTTACACCATAGTCGTTACATTCCTGCTACGCCATATAGCTGGAATATTGCTGAATGCGGCGTAAAACTAAACTCACATTGCTGCTATTCTTGAAACACTAAACTAGGATCCGAGGACATCCTATCACATCAATCTTTGACCTACTACCATTGACTGTCCCGAACTTTACGGAACAACTTTCAGGGTAGTTTGGGTAGCATAGTGGTTAAGCCGTTCGCTCGTTACGCTGAAGACCCGGTTCGATTCCATTTTCGGGTGTCCACCGCACTGGCATTGGTGGAATATTGCTAAAAATCACGTAAAAGCATACTCACTCTCTGTTTCACAAGTTTGAAACTAGCGACCTCCATAATGATTCCAGGCTTGAAAGATATTTTGACAGATTTCTCGATGTTTACTCATTCACAATCGACAGCATGGTTAAATTTTAAAAAGGTTATTGTACACACCGTTAAATGACCTACATAACACTCACGTCTATTTTTCAATTTTGAAAAATAAATCCATCAGAAACCTTTCCATATAAAATAAACTGGTCTCCAATGGCGTCGTCATCTTAAAACGTATTTTAACTATATCTACACTTACAGCAGCAGGATTCCGATCAAAGGTGAAGTCTGTCTCTGGTTCAGTTACATTATCCTTCAAGACCTCATATCTAATAGAAACTAACTGAATCAAAAAAAACGCAATTGTCTGTCAATCATTTTAAAGTCAACGTTATCAAATTACTCATCAGCTGAGAAGTTCTTCTGTCAATGACAGTGACACTCATAGACGCAACACGTGTGCTGTCCGCCTGACTTGTAGATTTCACTGAGTTTCATGAATGAGTGAGTGAGTAAGTGAGTTTAGTTTTACGCCGCACTCAGCAATATTCCAGCTATATGGCAGCGGTCTGTAAATAATGAGTCTGGACCAGACAATCCAGTGATCAACAGCATGAGCATCGATCTACACAATTGGGATATGAAGACAGTATATGGGATATTGGGTCAGCGAGTCTGAACCCCCTGCTGGTTCGTTGTCCCTTTGGTAGCCATAGCATTGAAAAGTACAGAGTCTTGACAAGTATGATGCAACAGAAAATCAACCAGGCCACCATACAGAGTGAATCCCTATTTCATATCACTCAGAAATATATTGGGTCAGCGAGCCTGCATTAGAATTGTTATGAGGTGCCTCAACAAACGAAGGAAGAATAAAAGACAGAAAGAAAGAAAGGAAAATAAATAAGTGAATGAATGAATGAATACGAACTCTATCAAGGTGTGTTATATTCTTGCAATTTACATTTTCAGATTCAACTCGTAGCTTACAACACTGATATCTACTCCTCCTTCCGAGAGGCTCTACAGTTCCGTGTACGGCATTGCTATCGTGTCTGTGTTCGCAGAGGTATAAAAATATCAATATTCACCGTCATTTGAAACCTCTGTTGACGTCATCTATTGTTTCCGGAAGTTGATATTCATATGACTCTACTAATGCATATGGTTCTGCTCATCACCCCTCCTCAGTCATGCTTTCCACCCCCTCAGGTCTTGCTACTCCTTCCCTCAGGTCTTGCTATCCCTCCCCCAGTCTGGCTTTCTTCCCTCATGTCCTTCCTCTACCTCAAATCAGGTCTTGCTTTCCCCTCCCATCAGGTCTTGCTTTTACCTCAAATCAGGTCTTGCCCTCATGTCCTTTCTCCCCATCAGGTCTTGCTTTACCTAAAAGCAGGTCTTGCTTTTTTCTCAAATCAGGTCAAATCAGGTCTTGCTTTCCATCAAATCAGGTCTTGCTTTCCCAAACGTTCCATCAGGACTTGCTTTCCCTCAAATCAGGTCTTGCTTTCCCTGAGCTCCCATCATGTCTTGCTTTCCCTTCCATCAGGTCTTGCGTTACCTCAAATCAGGTCTTTACCTTCCTCCCATCAGGTCTTGCTTTCCGAACCTAATTTCTTGCTTTCCCTCCCCTCAAGTCTTACTTTCCCTTGGCTCGGATCTTGCTTTTTGCTCGGTCTTGTGCTCTGTCATCGAGGAGCTTACTTTTCCTCCCGTCGGCTCCTCCGTTATCTCTTCTCGCCCCCTCGAGTTTTTACCCATTTCAAGCAAAGCCACAGAATCGCGCTATATCATACACACAACTATGTATGTGGCTGACATTCACGGCTCATGTTTTATGTAACAAAACCGAGGCCTACAATGTTTATGCCCTTTGGGAATCCACATTGGAGTGCTTCCCCGCAAGCTATGCTTGAAACAGGCAACTTAATGAATCCGAGGATGAGGCTCGGAGGCTGGGTCCAATGCATGTCACCGTAGCTCAAACACATGGGGCATTGCTCTTAATATCAGAGGTCTATCTGGCCAGCTTCGTATTTGTACAAGCCGTCGTCATATAGCTGGAAAATTGCTGAGTGTGGCGTTAAACAACAAAGTTCCGTACAAGCGTCACACCCTATATATTTTTCCATGTAAGCTCGCACACAATTCCTCCAATTTGTTTGGACAGCTGTTTTTATCATCCTGCTGTTTGGATTGGACTCAAAGCGACGCTGTTGCTGCGAATATTACAGCTAATTGGTCTGGGATTGGGCATTCGTCAAACAAGAATGGAGATGTAACATGGTAGCCATATGAAGAAGCCATTCATCAGATCTAAACATTAATTCAGTTATGTTTTTCCTGTGTTGTTCTGCTCCCCTCTGCGATGCAGGGAAACCGCTGCACAGCACGCAACAGTTTCAAATATCGCTGATTCTACAACTTTTCCTGCCCGAACCCGATGGCAGATACATCTGTCACTGTAGAGTCCACCACGCAAGCCAACATATCACAACACCGAACCATTACTGTAACAATAGCGGGCTCCCGAGACAATATCCAGACGTTATAACTTATAACGCAACGGTCATGGATCGGTTCCAATTGGACGTCATCAACTCGCGATTGATGGCGCGTGGAGATAAATGTCTCAGCCAAACGCTGCAGCAATGACAAACCGTCCAGCTTCATCTCTAAACGATATGAACAGTGTCCCTCTCCCTGTCACCCCGCATTACCCGTGTTTTATGGGGAGACGGAGAGATCACCCAAGATGACTATAAATCTGTCACAGCACCAGAGTTATCTTTAATCAATGTCCTTGATTTCTCGCAGATTGGTCAGCCCGTGAACGAAGCCTTTAAAACCATGGCAACCTTTGCGCAACGGATATTGTGGAAAGGTAAATCACATTTTTTTCATCTAAATGATCACTACTGTTCTCTACAAAAGTAATCGGTCTTTTCGACTGTTGAACTGTCTAAACTACCTCGTGACGGTTCCTCCTCGTTTGGTGGTGTCAAGGGGACGTATTTGTTTGGGTATACTCAAGGTTATAAGTAGAGGAACATGTGTAATGTCGGGGAACGGTTTAGTGTTGGGTTGGAATTAGGGTACTCGGAATTGGTCACAATGCAGGCAACTCTTTGATCTTGACTGGGATCCGGCCTACCTAAACGAGCCATTTTCTCAAGGCTGCGACTGGGCGACGCAAAACAGTCATTGGTACAAGGTATGGGATGAAAGCTAATAGTCGATTACTGTTTGTAAAATGAAGTTGCTCCCGCCCAAACTGTATATCATCAGAACAGGTTGTTACAACGTTCATCGATTGAGGTGTAGGTATGTCCTCCTGGGTGCCGATCCACAAAACGTCTGTAGCACTACGACAATCGTAAGCCTATGATTAACTATAGAGTTACGACAGGTCGTAACGTTACGAACGCTTTGTGGATCGCGACCCTGTTTCTTTACGTTGGTACTAATCCCGACTGAGCACCTATACCGTGATATGGTACAGAGATTCTTGTCAAACCGAAACATGAATCTCATTAACCTATTCAGACAATGACCTACTTTTCAGCCGATTCGAATTTTCTCATGTGAAACTGAAAATAGACATCACAAACAACTATGGTTACACCGAATTCCAATTCCTTGTTTCAAAAGAAAATCGTATTTACAATGAATTGTAATTTTAAGCTTTAATAATATCGTATTTCTATATTTTATTGCGAGGTGTAGGCAACATGACCTTAACTATGACGTCACACACTGCCCCTGTTTGATGAGGTCGTAAAATGATTCACAATGCATCTGGCTCGCTTATGTTATGTGTTTTTGCGCTTATTCAGGGTAGTTCTTTAACGCACAATGTGATGAATATAATATCAAGTCCGCACAAGACCGCCATACTTTTCTAGCGGAGAGCCTCGTTTTGACATTTCCACGATTTCCAGATTTCCGTTTTGTCAGAGCACCCTGCACAACGCGTTTGCAAAGATTAGAAGAAGCGTGGTGTTGCAATATACAAGTGCTTAGATGTATCAAATAATACTGATTAATAATGATGTATCCAGTTGAATGAATTGGTCTCAAAATTCTGAACTGGTTATTGTGCTAAGTTACGCAATAGGACGGGACCCAGTCAACAGGAAACGAGACTTTTTGTAATCTATGTTTTGACTTGTTGTCTCCTGTTGGGTGATAGCGTAAAGTTTCCTGCGCGAATATAAAATGGAACCAGTTGAGATTGCAACGCAGCACTAGTCTAATAATAATCGGAAACACGACGAGTTTAGTTATTGTTCCAGCAATGGCACAAATAGTGGGAATCGAACCCGGTCTTCGGCACGCTTTAACCACTAAGCTACCCCCACCGCCCGATTAATAATAATCGTTGAGGGTGAGGGTGAGGGTGAGGTGTAGTGGCGGGGAGGTGGGGAGAATGTGGGTATGGCCTTGTCGGTCTGACTTTGATATAGGGAACCTTTAGGTTATCTGGAAGGCGTTGGGTCAGGTTTAGAGCAAAGTAACCTTTGATACAAGGGGAAGCTCTTGATCATTATACAATGAAATTGTTTCATATTGTGATGTTGGAGTGAGTGAATGAACGAGAGTGGTTTTACGCCGTATGACTTGTCATAAAGGAAGGTTTCGTCATGAGGACGTGCGAGGAATGGTCAATGAAGAATGCGTGCTTATTGGCTTATAACGTTGAGGAAAAGGTATTGTTATCCAGCCTCCAATCTGCTACCATACCTATTAACGTGTTTGGGCACAGTTCAACAAAGAACTCTTAGCCCTAGTATTGTCTTAAGTGCCCTATGTTTCGGGAATTATTAGATCGTTTTGTGGATCAGCGCACTCTATAGCTGATATATTGCCAATGTGACGTCAATATCAATACACTATTCCCTTCTCAAAACGTGTATAGCTATCATTTATTGAGTGAGTGAGTGAGTTTAGTTTAACGCCGCACTCCAGCAATATTCCAAAATATGGCGGCGGTCATCGTTTATTTATTGAATATTGTTTGAGTCAAAATAGAAGAATTCATTTGTTGTATTGTTTTCATTGTTCGAGCAGCCCAAACTATACCCTTGATATGAGAGAAAGTCGGAGAGTGATTCCGTCCATAGACGTTTACTGTTTTGGTGAAACCCTGATCACGGGCGTGGTACTGACACACCTACAAACATTATCAGGTCTAACTTTTAATTCAGCTCCGCCCAATGATCACAGGTTCCTAGCATGCCCAAGGGACGCAACTCTGCACAGCGAGTTATAGCATTGAAGACCATCCAGCCAATGGCGCCTACAAGGTCATAAAACGAAAGTTCTATTTGATCGCAATTCTATGTTCTGATGATGTCGCCACACACACAAATTGGAGACCCGTGAAGATCCGGGGTAGAATAGGTCTTCAGCAACCCATGCTTGCCACAAAAGGCGACTATGCTTGTCGTAAAAGGCGACCAACGGCTCACTGACTTGGTTGACACATGTCATAGTATCCCATTTGCGCAGATCGATGCTCATGCTGTTGATCACTGTATGTCCTGGTCCAGACTCGATTATTTACAGACCGCCGCCACATAGCTGGAATATTGCTGATAAAACTAAACTCACTCACTCACTCACAAATTGGATAAACGATTATTCACAGATGTGTGAGAACTGTTTAAGGTTGTCGAACTTAAATTGAGCGAAATAAAAACGTTGACTATTGTCAGGTGAAGTGTAAATAACAATTGATACTGGCAATTCTCAAAATACAGTCTGTTTGATCGTTCTGATGAACGATTTTCCTCCAGAACGTTTTAATGATTACGTCTGAGTAGAACAGCTTGAAAGAAAAGTGTGTGTTTATGAGTGTGTTTTGTGTTTTCTCTGATCTTGAGACGTCCTTCAGAATGGCACCTAATGCTATAAACCTCGCTTATCGGGTTTCTCAACAAGGATTCATGAAGTAACACAACCGAAAAGTCAAGTCTCGACTGAGACAAAACTGTTCATGATACATTATTATGTTTAATGTCATTATTCATTCAAAGATATTAGATTTTCCCTTGAACTAATACGGAACTATTCATGTGAATAATGGTCATCTAATATGTAACTATATATGTTTAGCGGCCTTGAAAAACATTCACTCGCTTGGGGTGAACCATGCCCGAGTGAGTGAGTGAGTGAGTGAGTGAATACTGCCGCATAATCAATACTGCAGCCATTGATGTGCAGTCGAATTTCATGAGAAAAGAAAACTCCAAGTTCAATCTGTAACATCACATTATCACGTTTGACAAAACAGATCAACAACTAGTTTCTTTATGAACTTATCTATCATACGAATATCTTATTACATGACATGATTCTCCTTTTTCTGAAAGTCGCTATAAATATTTTGCTTTGATATTTGCAAGTTAAATACTTGAACATAACACGTCAATGCTGTAAGATGGCATTAAGCAATTGCGTCAACTCTCTTGCCTATAAAGCGTCAGATAGACAGAAAATATGTTTAGTACAAACCGTCGCTTGTTATAAATAGCCCGCACCTATCCCATTAAAGACCAGTAAGACCCGTGAAGATCCGGGTTATAACGTTTTCAGCAACCCATGCTTGTCGTCAGGGTGGTCAGGCTTGCTGGCTTGGTTGACACATGTCATATTATCCCATTTGCGTAGATCGATGCTCATGATGTTGATCACTGGATTGTCTGGTCTGACTCGATTATGTACAGACCGCCGCCATATAGCTGGAATATCGGCGTTAAACAACAACAATACATAGTTGATGGTCAAGAGCCATAGCCCAGGGCGAAGGTCAAGGGGGACATTAAGTATCACAGAGGGCTCATAACACTGGGTAAATATAACATTAGTAAACTGTCAAATGTCCTTAGTACCTTTCCCCATAGTTGACTTACCATCCAGTCTATGCTTTCCACGCACCCGGATCTTCAATGGTTATAAAGACCAATCTGGGGAATGTAAGTTATTTAGTAGATGCATAATTTAATGCACATAGGAAGGACTCTATTTTATTAACATTTCGATATAGAAAGCTGATCGTGAGGAAGGTCGTCAAAGATAATATACTCAAATTCAGAATTGAGGCAACGGGTTACACAATTTGTTGCAGATCGGTGAACGTCCGGTTAGAATTGGTCTGTGCTTGTGAAAGGCAACGAAAGGATCGAATTGTCATGTCATCATGTCCCATTTGGGTAGATTGGTGCTCATGGTTTCAGTCACTAGATTGTCTGGTCCAGACTCGATTATTTACCGACCACCGCCATATAGCTGGAATATTGCTGAGTGCGTCGTTAAGCACAAACCTGGAGATCGAGCAATCATCTGTTGATATTGATTGTTATATATGCGTCATTATGGGGTTATATAGACTAACAACTAGTCTCTGAAATGAACATTTTACAGAAAAAAGGTCGATTATGGAAAAAAAATATAATAAAAAGGAGCCCTGAGACTTTCTTCATTTCCTGAAGCTGTGGAAATCTCGACTTGCCGCATTTTCTAGAGTTGCGTGGGATTTCCTGGATATATTTGCTTCAGAGTCTGTATGACAGACTTGGGGTCACAGATCTATTCTACAATGTACATACGGTGTTGAGCACATCGGGTCAGTCACAGGGTCAAGCAACGGGTCCGAGCAATCGTGGTCAAGGAGGAAATATATCGTACATTGAAATGTTACATATGACGATTCAATCCCTTTACAAATTAAAATTAGTGTACACTTGTAGTCGTAAGTTTCTTAGAATACAAAGGGTTGTTTGAAAATTACAGCCGTCGACTTCTAATTTGCTCAAGCATTGTGGTGACTTTGTGGGCATTTTGTATGATAACTTAAGTGATATTCCAGCAATTCTACTTCTA